GCTGCATCCGGCTTTTGACAGGTAGTTAGGTTAAACAGCAGCGGGCTTCCCCATTGCTTGTGTAACCTAACTTGGTGAGGCAAGAGCTGTCACAGCCTCTACTCTGTGTTAGAGGCGTGAGCTCTGTGGATGGCTTGGACCAATGGCAAAGCGCCATTAGTCCAAGCTGTCTAATAAAAAAAAAGAAGGAAAAAAAAACCAGTGAGGACATCGATCCCGATGCCTCATCAGTGACAACCAAATGAGGAACAGGGAGGCTCCTCCCTGTCTCCTCCCTTCCTCCTCCCCACACAGCTTGGTTACCGAACTGGGGGTGAAGCTTTGGCGGGAAGGGGCGGAGCTTTCGGCATGACAGGGTGGAGCTATGGCGGGCTGGGGGATACCTCACCCATCACAGAAGGCACGTCACTGGTTTAAACCACTGTGATCCACTGTGTTCAGTTGCAGTGTGATGAAAAAAGTAGAGCTGCTCTTTTTTCAGTGCAGCATAACGCAACACATCAAAAACAAACATCAACGCAATGGAACATAATGAAAGTTTAAAAAAAAATACATAGAAGTTTGTCCATTTAGAAAATGTTAATTAAAATAAAAATTGGCAAAAAAAAAATGAATGGAACGCAAAGGAAGTCAATGGAGGTTGAAATTGCAAGTCAACAGACGTCTGTTGACTTACGTTTTCAGTCCGATATTGGTGTGAACGGGGCCTTAAACATCGTAAATTTGGCACTCAGAAAATACACCAATATTTACAAAAAAACACTCATGTATTTCCCTCTGTTGATTCCCACCAACGTGTGTACGTGTTCACACCAGTCTGCTGCATTAAAGTGTTTAGGGGTAAAAGAAAGTCTTGTCAGCTGCTTTTCTCATGTATTTCATGTATTTTCCTATTCAAACCAACCAAATGACGTCCTTTACAACATGTGCAAAACATACCCGATAACAATCTATAACACACGTTAATGCATGCTGAAACACATGCTATTTGGTGTGAAAGCGGCTTATATATTCTTTTGCAATAACACCTGTATTTCCCTGTTTTATTATGTATTCTTGCAAAAGTAATAAATTTAAAATTTTATTGTCCTGAATGTAAAAAAGAGTAATACACATTTTTCTTTATCCTGTACATATACTGAGCTGTGTGCAAGAATGATTAGCCTCCAGGTTTAAATAATAGATTGTTCTGATCTTTCATTAAACCTATGGAACTATCTTCTATGTAGTTATACTCCAGAACAGTCAAAACACCCTTTAAAAGTATGCAAAATGTAAAAGCACCCGGCCTATAATGTAAAGGATTTTAAGCTTGTTTTCTTGCTATGCAGGCTGTCTTATTTGCATCACCTGTAATTGAGTGTTGGTAACAGTGCTAGTTTCATTATTATTTCCAATTTTAGACACGCAGGGATTGACTTACTAAAGATTTATATAATAAATATATTATATATATATATATATATATAATTTACTTTTTGACCATAGATCCCCTTAAAATAAGAAAATAACAATATTGTTTCTGTATAGCGGTTTTAATGCATCAGACACTGTGACCAATTATAAATAAATTTATATAATTTTCCAAAGAAATGTTAAAACTTGCTGAACCACAATACTTAATTATACACCCATAAAGTGGTTGTATCAATCCTCTGTCGTTTTTTCACACATTTCCTCCCATAATTGGAGTTCCTCTCTGCTTCGTTTCAGGAATGGCTGGCGCGATTCATTTCCTGTCAGACATGTTGACACCAGAGACTTCACGCTTCCCTGCATTTGAACTTTGATTGGCTGGCAGGAGAATTTGGAGTACAGTCTGTGCGTACAGTGAGGAGATGTAGAATTTCCATCCGTCATGTTCAGTGCCTCCACCACATGCTGCCAGCTTTACCTTGTCACTACTTTTTACAGAGTGTTGTGGCAATGTTTACTGAATGTTTACTGAAGCTGTTGCTGCAGAAAATGGGCTATATGAAATATTACATTATCTACCCTGTGATCTTGTTGTTGCCGCAGACTGAAGATGCTAATTCATTTGTTTTTATGTGTGCCATTGGAGGCAGTTTGACGGCAATTTATTTTCAGATGCATAATTGTCATTGGTTCTCTTTTCTATGGTATAGTACATTCTATACAAACGCCCCAATCATGTATAAAGCCAGAATGTTGTAAAAAGACACATGGCCTAATAGATCAACCATATGCGTGCTGATTGGATAGTCATTTTCCACAGCTCCACCTTAAAACATTAAATTCTAAGGGTAGTATGTATCCCCTCCAGATTTATGCCTCAAGCACGACCCTTTTATTTTTTTAGGCCTGTAGGTTGTCAGATATACCAGCAAACTATGATGCGGCTAGATCTACAACAGTGTCAGACTGGCTGTTTACAGTCTCAGAACTGTGGAAACTGGATGTAACAAGATGCTTGTCGCTTCCAGATTCATTTACAGGAGGAATGATCAGCGAGTAGATGTCCCCTCTACCCGCTGACACCTGCAATAGCCATCCTGGGCAGTGGAGCCAGTGATACATGGTGGAGGAAGGTCAGGTGTGGGGGGTTGGGGCTAGTACATTCTAGTGTATGTGGAAGTGAACAATTCTAGCAGAAAGCTGGCAGACTGGCTGTTGCAGTCCCAGAATGTCGGAGTAATAGCTCACAGATGCTTGTACCCACCAATAATCTAACTGTACAATCTACTCATTTTATATTATAAGTGTGCAGGCTCACCTATGATCCAATGTTTTCATAAAATTTGCATGAGTTTAGGTTAATGAGTTTGAAAATGCTTCTTTAGCTCTAAACCTGGTAAAAAAATCTTATCACGCACCTTACAATATTCTATTTTGATCAGTTGTACTAAGGTTTTTTGGATCACCTAGTTTCACATCTTTCAACCTAAACTTATTATAGTAGATTGTTCAGTCAGATCACAAGTTGCGTGACCAGTTCAACATTTTAAAATTAGCTTATTACATCAGAGACTAAACGGCTACCTGTAAAGATAATTCAGTGCAGTCACAAAGAACCATTCATCGGTGTCTAAAAGAAGATCTGGCTTATGGGTAATACAGCATTTTGTTGTTTCAGTAAGCTTGATAAATAAGGGCCACGTTTTATGTTAATGATGATGCCAATGATAAGATTACTGGTTCAGCTCACAAAAAAGGATGCCTTCAACATGTGTATGTGTCGGAGATTGTGTGCACTTAAAATCCGAAGTGCAAATATTTTCTTAATGCTGTTACATGTTTGCATGTGCACCAGTAGCTGTTTTCAGGATTTGAGACCACTTGTAATGTAAAGTCAAACCTTGTCTGGTCACAACTTTTTTTTTTTTTGTACATCTGTTAAAGGAAGGTAGCTGCATGCACCATTTGTACTGAGCCTGTGTAAAAGAAAAAAAAAAAAAGGGCTTTGCCTTCGTGTGTGTTTTAAATGTCCGATGTACACTTCACACATCGTCACTGTAGAGGGAGACTGGTGCTTGTGTTTGTGAGAGTTGTGTATGAGTGATATTCATTTTTTCAGATGTGTGCTTGTGTGGTACTTGATATAGTCTGTCAATCTCTCTCCCATATCAAATTGTTCTGTGATTAAGTCTTATATTTCACCTTCGATGCTGTGGTCAAATATATGAGGACCAAAAGAGCTAACCGTGTCTGTTTTTTTGGGGGTTTTTTTGGGGGTTTTTTTTTGTAACCTTCACTTTGTTACTTGATTTATTATTTTTAGGAAGAAGAGGCTTTCTCAAACAGGACAGTCTTAATGCATTTTTAAAAAACAACTGCAGATTATTGGTAAGCACCCTGCTGTAAAGGAGAAGGGTGGTAGAGGTAGAAATTGAACTTTACTTTTTGAAAAGAGGTTTTCGTGTATTTTGAAAGTGGACATGTGCTTTGCCCATGCATGGTAAAACAACAGGTTCACTTAACTGCTGCCCTTCCCAGCTACACATATTCCTCTTCCCTTCACTCCTCATCTGCTCTGTTTGGTGCCTGGTACTTCTGCGTATGGTGAGCTTGACTTCCTCCCACATGATGGCACTGATGCTTGGTGATCAAAAATTTATGAGAAAAGGTTGGCTTTCAAAAGAATATAAATTAGAAGGGACACACTCTGCATTTCGGAACTACGAGGAATGCAACAAGAGATGCTTAACAGAAATTAGGGCAGCTAAAATAGAATGTGAAAAACACATTGCTACAGTTAGTAAAACAAATCTTCAAATATATTAATAGTAAAAATGTTAGGACAGACCATGTAGGACCCATAGCAGATGAATAAGGGGAGTTGGTCACAAGTGGCAAAAGTAGAAGCCAGATCAAATAGTTATATTTTTCCTTTCGGTTTATACAAATGAAAGTCGTGTCTAATAGTCAGTACAGTAATAATGTGATGTACAATTAATAATGTACTGAATGTACCTCTGTGGCTGACAGAAATCCAGGTTCAAAACAGATTAGGCAAACATAATGTGAATAAATCGCCAGGAGCAGATGGCTTACACCCACGAGTCCTCAGAGAGCTTGGCTCTGTAATAAGCCAGACCATTGTTTCTAATAGTTAAGGACACCCTAATGACTGGAATGGTACCCACTGATTGGCGTAAACCAAATGTGGTACCAATATTCAAAAAAGGACTGAGATGCATGCCAGGAATTTAACAGGCAGCTTAACATATATGAGCTGTAGAGGCATCGAAAGCCCAGGAGCTAATCATTTCACTAAGACCGGCTGCCATTCTAAACTGGAGCTGGGACAAACAGCCACTATCAAAGCGGCATTCTAAAATAGTGGCTGGGTCTCAGGTGGTTAATGATATTGATGTTACATTGATTAAGAGATTAATTTCAGTGTTTTGACGATGATACCAAATTATGAAGGGAAATAAATGTGAAGTTCTGTCTTTGTTATAGGACCGAGAGGGGGTTGGGTAGCTACATGATAGATAAGGTTTAATGCATGGAAATGTAAAATTATGCATTTGGGCTCTAAAAATATGCATGCATTATACTCTTTAGGAAGGGCTCCATGGGGTGAATCTGTGATACAAAAGCCTTGGGGAACACAAACTTAGGATGGCCATACACTGCTCTATTTTTTTAATTCAACTCGTGGGCTGAACGAAAAAAAATAACGCACATTTCTCTAACACTATGAGTATGTCGATCGAGGAATCCCGCTGTTTGCATTGTATTCTGACAGCAGCTGCCGGCCGCTGTCAGAATACTGGACCAGAGCCAGCAACTCATTGGCTGCCGTCGCTGGTCGCACGAAGATTTTCCGTCCGGCTCCTTCGATCAGCTGATCAAGGGATGCCGGCTGAAAAGGTTTCCGACAGTGGCAGTCTACGGGCACCCTTAGCAACAGCATGCAATGCCAATCTGCAGCTAACAAAGCTAGCAGAATACTAGCAGAATATATTCAAGAGATAAATCTATACTTCTACCCCTTCTACTTCTGAACACTAGTTCAGCCTCATCTTAAATATGTAGTTTGGATTTGGTCACAAATCGACAGGAAGGATGTCATTGAAGTAGAAAGGGTTTAGAGACGGGCTTCAAAAAATGAATAAGGGAGCTGGAGGACCTCAGTTATAAGGAAAGATTACATTTATTCACTCTGTGGAAGAGTTGCTTATGGGTGGATATGGGCACACTGTTTACAATTATGAAAGGTGATATATTTATGCTAAATGTGCCTAAAGAAGACACTTGACCACAATTTAAGACTGGACGGAAAGAGGTTTATTATAAAACTGAGAAGGGGGTTCTACTGTTACTGTTAGAGCAGTGAAAATGTGGAACTCTTCCTCAGGAATTTGTATTTGCTTAGAGTATTGAAAAATTATAAAAAAAACTTTAAATATCTTCCTCAGTCGGCATAATATACAGGATTTTGTGAATTCTTATAATTCGATAGGAGATTGATCAAGGCCTTCATCTGATAAAACACACTTGCACACGGAGGTTGAACTTGATGGACCGAGTCTTTTCCTTCCTTTATCTACCATTTAATTAACTGCTCAGGTATGCTGTCACATGGGGACAAGGAGAGAATCTTCACCCCTGTTGCAACCTACAGATTACATGTGGCATGCTGGTTGCTGCAAAGTATAGACATCTTACCTTGCAGCATGCCGGCTCCTACTGCGGGGAAGGAGAGATGCAACTTGAGCAGGGAAGTGCTCTAGTCACATCCCCACCCTCCTTGCTACTTACCCATTCACATAATGCCTTGTATTTTTCCACAAAAAATACAAGGCATTCTGTGATTGGTGGAGAGATGAAGTCACATGCTTGCCCCCTCCCCCTCCAATCACAGAATGTCTTGTACACTTTGTGAAAATACAAGGCATTATGTGAGTGGGCAAGTAGTGATGAGGGGCAGCGATGTGACCTTAGCATCCTTCACTCCCCACAGCGCCCAAAAGCTGAGAGTTATGTGTAGGTTATGTGTGTTATGTGTAACCACCATTGCTGCAAGGGGAGATTTGTATACTTTGAGCATCCCTCCACACATATAATACAGCTTTTTAGTGCTAATTATTTACACACTCAGTGTGGTGTGTACATTATCATTTTTTTCAAGAAGTTTTGCTTTAAAGAAGTCCTCCAATGTCACTAGAACTTGATATAACATGTAAATGCTGCACAAGCTATTTTAAATCACCTCTCGCCAATCCACACCCGATAATGATTTCTAAAACTGGCAAAAATCTTGAATCTTTCTCCCTTGCAACCATGGCAACAATGGCATCATTTATATAGCACAGAACGCTCCCAGACATCTCAATTTCTGTTTGTGTGATTAACTCACGGCTTTTCCCAGAGGTCTGCATAGAGCTCACGGTAAGATGCCAGGCGTCAGCTACTCGGAGTCTTTTATCTGTGGTGAGATACTTTGCATGGACTCAGCTGCCACAAGGAATGCACTTTAATATTGTGGAGAACAAGTAAAAGGTGGTCTGAATGATTTTTTTTTCACTATTGCTGGGAATATGTATACAATCACTTTATTTACTTTGACATTCTGTGTTCTTTT